GAGAGGGAGAGGGAGAGAGGGAGAGGGAGAGAGAGAGAGAGAATAAAAAAAGAAATAAGGGAAAGGGATTACTCGTAGCTAGGAAATCTTAGACCCTGTACCCGCGGCGACAGGATAGCAAACGTAAGCTACAAAAAGGAGAGAAGAGAATTCTTAGCTTAACACACATTTTATTTCAGGATGACCCCGTGCGTCGCAACACCTCCCGGAGAGGCACTGTACGAAATAAAGGTGTTCAAGAATCACCCCGGGATATACTTCGAAAAGGCCGGCAAAGTAAAAATTGATAATGACCGCTGGAAGTTAATCGCATTTGTCAACCTGACGCACTTAGACAGGAAATACCGCGTTATCCGCTACTACGCAGACGAGCTGAAGAAAGGCTGCTACCAAAATCTAACACACGGAAGAACGTTTGTCTGCATCAACAAACACCACATAGACGCGACGATACGAAACCTAGATGCGACCGAACAAAGAAGGAAAATCCTCAGTGATATCACCGGACATTCCTTTTCCAATGACAATATCCGAAATAAAGAAGCAGTGTTTGACTTCATCGGCACCATCTCAAAAATATTGTTCGGAAATCTCGACGCTGGTGACGCGACATACTATAACGAACAGATCGACAGGATTTACAAAGACGACAAGCAGGTAGCGACACTGGTCAAAGAACAGACCAACATAATCCAAGGCTTTGTGACTAATCTATACATCACGATCGACGAAATAAAGACAGAATTCGAAAAAATTCAAGGAAAAATAGAAACAATGCAGCAATATGTAATGGACCACGTGAGAGAATCATACGCTGCGAGAATCCAAGTAGAAATAAACACTCACGTTATCGAACTCTCGAGTTTAATTAACTCGTACGAATCGGAGCTTACGACATTAACTAATGCCATCATGTTCGCATTTGAGGGACTGATTCATCCCGATATCCTCCCACCAACTCACCTAATGGACACCCTCATAAAAATCAAAGCTTTACTCCGCCAGGACCAGGATTTCCCCGTAACACTCGTACCTACTCATGCCCATGATTTGATTAAAGTTAGTAACCTACAGGTACTCTATCTTAACGGACGACTGATATATGCTTTAACAATACCATTAACCGATGGGAAACTTACGAACTCTTTAATCTCATACCGATTCCAGCCCCGTTCGAAGGCGACATATTTACATACATAAGCCCTAGAAGACGCCACATAATTATTGCGCCCAATCAACAACGCTTTATGCTCCTAGATGAACTCGATAGCGAAAAATGCAAACCGCTACTCAATATCAAAGTATGCATGCAAGAACTACCGTTCTATACTTCTCACCTACATAAATCCTGCGAAACCGACCTGCTTACTACTGGAAGCACCGATATCAAAAGAAATTGCGATGTTAGATTTATCCGACTAGAAACCACCACGTGGACCCAATTAGAACGTAAAAACAGCTGGTTGTATGTAACCGTTAAAAAGGAATTAATGGGCATTCTGTGCGAAGATCGCGACGCGTCGCATATTGCGGTAGAAAACACGGGTATTCTCACGCTAGATGCCAATTGTAAAGCATGGACCGATTCCGCGAAGCTCGTAATACAAAATGTAAAAACCAGTAATTATAGCACTGATTTCGTCCCCGAGGCTGGCCTAGAGTTAGCCGAACTGTGCGAAGAACTTCAGGAGCCTTCCAAGATAAATCTATCAGAATTAATATTCCCAGAAAAATACAATCGTCCGAACATACATCTAAACGACTTAGACATAGGAAGCGTCAAATTATCAGAAATCCGGCGTCGAGCTGAGATATTGCAACACCGGCGTAGACAGGATAATTGGTTAGCATCCCATAATAATTTCTTTTACTATGTACTTTTCGCTCTAGGAATCTTATTAATGTTATATCTATGTTGTACGTGTAAGTACTGCGATATATGCGCTTGGTTGTGCAGAAAGCTTTTTAAACGAAGGCAAACATCGGAACGCAGAAGTGCTAATACCTTCCTAAAGGTATTTCAAAACTGCTTTAACCATACCAGGAGACCGAACAGAGACGTGCAAGTCCACTTCCAAACGGATCGCGACTCGACCGCTTCGAGCGAAGAAGCCGTGACCATACAACCCTTCAGGTTCGAATGCTCGGACACGAGTTCAGAACGCCCTAGCTTGACTCCACCACCTTCCGCCCAACCTACTCGTAAGCCTTCTTCACGAGAGCCATCCTCCAGGCCTCTGTACGGATAAGCTCTCTTCCTCTAAGGGGAGAGGGATGTTAGGCCCCTACCTAACATTTTATTTTACGTAATATTAATAGAGACTAAGCAACGCGTCTCGCGCTCCAAAACGCTCCTGGAGACATGCTCTCCCTCGTTTCTTATCTCCCCTTTGTTTATCCGAGTACTTCCGCACCCCAAACTAGATGACAGCCCTGGGAAACGTCAAACATTCAGATTCTCTGGAAAAAGACGCTTTCCACCTGTTTCCCTTTCGACCTGTCCCCAAGCCAATCACATGAGACATTTCCCTCCTCAATCTTAAAAACCCACCAATAAGCATCCTTCTCCGCGCCTAGGAACACCCTAGGTTAGTATAAAAAGGCCCGCTCCGAAGGGCTCGCTCTCTGATCTATCAAAGTTTGAACTGTCTTCATTCTGTAACCTGCGTGTGTGACACCTGTAACTCTGTCCCCTTGTGTGGACCAGTCTACGAGTCGTTCCTGTAAACCAAAAGGCATTGAAAATAAAGTATCTTCGTTACTTTGCTCGACGAGGTCTTTGGCTAGTTTCAACCATCTGGAAGCGAGGCCCAAAAACAAACCCACGAGGCAGGGTCCGATCGACATCCTCGGGCAATCGCTATCGCCGCCCCTGAGTAAACGATTCCCGACCTAACACTACTCGTAACTTTAACCTTTCGTCGTCCCTGCCTTATTAAGACATGCAAATTTATAAACCATGTGGAAACTGAAACATGATGAAATTTCAGAGTTCCGTGACTTAAAATAAAACACATTGAAGGCATTGACTTTAATGAAAAATGATGTAAAGAGAAATTTTATAAATAACTTAAAATAAAATAAGCACAGTAAATAGAGGAAACACGATTAGAAATAAAATTGTATATTCTCGAAGGAATTGACATTCGTGCAATATGATATAAGCAAACACGTTGTAGCATATTTCGCGACGGTCCAACAGCTCCGCTACAGCACCAAAGTAAATTTAAATGGCCAATATTTCGTTATATCAATGTTCTGAGAAACGTGACACATCGTGGAATAGGGAAAGAGGAGACCAAAAATAATTTTCCCTTCATCTGGGCCGACTAGGCTCGGCCGCCGGCTCGGGGCTCGAGGATCATAGACGTGGCGCTCTCTCTTACTCCTACGGGCCGCATAGGCCCCGGGCTTTCTCTACCACTGTTCAAACTCCTGTCTCGGGCCTTCTATTCCCTGTTGTGAGGGTCTCGGTATCGGCTCCCGATAATCGGATTAGCATCGATGTCTACACGCAGGCGAGGAAGATCTCTCTCTCTACCCCGGGCTGCGGTCTAGTCCGTCCCATCCGGAGCGGCGTTCTCCGTTGCTCTTTCGCGGATCTTATGCCTCCCGACGGCGTTCTCGCTTGCCGTCGTTCACCCTCGGGCCGTTTCGCCCCTTCCTTCTGCGGCTCGCAAGGCGGATCGTCATGTTGCGGCGACCGCGATCAAGTAATTAACAGAAGGAATGGAGGATCATTTCCTCCACGAGAAATGTCGTCTCGATTTAACTGTGCCTGCTAGTCGTAATGTTAACCCTCCGTTGTCCAAGCCTTTTTCGGACACGTAATTTTATGACTTGTATTTGTATTTAAAATGGAAGTAAACAATTTAATCTCATCTGTTTTTACCAATGTGGCTATTTCGAGTTACGCGTGATGTTTAACTTTTTCGAGAGTTGATTCAGTTAATAGAACAAGTATCATTCTGATCGACTCTTTTCTAATATTCTCATTTCTCTGGAAGTATTTAACTTCAAACGCAAATAGATTCAAAATCTATTTAAAATTGAAAATCCATATTAGTTTATTGTTCTTATTTCAAATACGAAATGGAAATGGGGTTTTACGTTTTCGATACCTGTATCTAATGAAGTCAATTCATAAGAGTTACTCCAATTTGCGTTTATAATAAACTCGGATAAGAAAAGTCTTTCTTATGTTTACGGGTGCTCATTTACATGTTCATTTAATGATTTACAGGTGTTCATTTATTCGAGGAATACGAAGAATGGTGTAGAACGTATATATATATATAAGAGGCATGAAATCACGATTTCGTTTCTATGTCCGATAGTTGATGCAACGTAAATTTTCCTACGGTATTTCACTGTATATATATTTAGAAACTATTTTTTTTAAGCTAAGATAATATTCTAACTTCGGTTCAGTGGATGGAACAATTGAATCGCTAAGAAACTTGTTAACATTTNAATAATACTTAAATAATTTTTATTAACTGTTTTTGTTTATAAATATTTATTTTCTTTAGGAAATCCATTCTGCCCCTCAGGCGATTCAAATTCCGGGCTGCTCCCGCCGCTAGTACGCTGCGCGGACGAAGAGGGCAGTGCGGACCAGGAGGAAACCATCGACGGAGTCCAGTGTATCTTTCTTCTATGTAGATGTAGTAAACTCAGTTCGGAAGATGGCGCTATTGACCGACGGTTTTTTCCTCTCATTTGTCCTATTTCTTTTAAGGTTCGTATTTATACTCCTGACAAGTGAATTTAAAGGAAAATTATAGTGGGGTTTATTTTCTGTTATGTCGAATCCCAATACCTAGATATCTGTAATGTTTAATTAAAGTTTACACATTGAACATCAAGTTCATACAGTCGTAGCAATTACTCGAGCAACTTGAACTGATTTGAGTTTGATCGCTGGACTCAGAATCTCCAACACGATTGTACCAACTTTAGATGAAGATTTGACCGTAGTAATTTTATTGCGAGAACTGCTCGATCAACTTACTGTGCTGTCAACAGGAGGAGGCATAAAACTAACCCACTAAAATTATGAGTAATTTGTACATTATTTTAATTGTAGTACCTTAAAACATAATCGATAATGGGGCCTGTAAGGCTCGACATGTCCCGTGATGAATGCAAAAGGTGTTTACGCTGTTTAGGTAAGGTTATGTTCTTAACAACTGTCGCTTATTTAAACAGAATATTTTCGAGAAAGCTTGTATTTTCGCTAAGTATTTACCCTATAAAACTTCAATAAATCGATGCACATGAAAACGTCATTGGTTTCGAACATACTACCTTATATCATTTTCCTTTCTTTAAGATCGCATTCCTGTAATGTTGTAACATGTACTATTTATTTTATGTTGCTTCATTTTTATATAATAAGAATACACTAATAAGTTTTTACAAATCGTTATTATTTATCCTTTTTCCTTGTGTCCCCTCAGAGCTTGATGCGTATGGAAATATGGTATCTGTCCTACGTGCTCAAGGATCATTTACTACTGAAAAGCAAAAGTTACTTCAAGAATTGGCTAAAGTCCTTCATATATCTAATGAAAGACATCGTGCCGAAATCCGCAGAGCAGTAAATGATGAACAGTTGACTGCAATAGCTGAGCAGTAAGTTATACATCCTAAAACTAATTAAAGACTTGTTACATTCACAGAAGTTGTATACTTTAACCTTGAAAATTAACTGAAATGTATTTATTTTCTAATTATTAATTCATGTAAAGGGATAGAACAGATAGACATTAATATCCATAGCATAAAATAGAGCAATAAAGTCTTAAGACCCATTGTATGGACCATGATTACAATGTAATCAAAAGCACATGGAACTATTGGGTTTGGTGCATAATGCAAATGAATAGAAGATCTGTGTACAAGATTGAAAGTGTTCTTAATTGTTTCTAAGTCGAACTATCGAAGTTAACTTGTATTTACTTGAAAAGCAGCTTATCAAAGTCATTTTAATTCATTCAAAATTCAAAAAAAGAAACTTGGTGTGTATGATCATCGCAAACGTTCCTAAATTATTGATTATACTACATGCAAACAGCAAAAATCACTTGGGTTGCATTGAAACCACAATTTGGATGGGCCTTTACGAATAAATTTCTGATAAATTTATTAAATGATTATCATGTATAATTCATTTTAATATTGGTATAATATTTTTTAATATAAAGACGTTTACTTATAAACAAATTGATACTTTTGAGCTAACATATGTACTTAATTCATTTACAATAATTGTGCAAACAATCTGTTATCACAATAAAAGTAATTTATTATTATTATAGATTAAGTGGACCTAATACAGGTACGGATTGGGCAATAGAAGGTCGACGCATAATTCCTCTAATACCACGATTAAAATCTCGTACTGCATTTACTAAACTCGCAAATAATCTGTCACTTGTTACTGCTATTGCAAATGAAAAGAAGCCGATTCTGCAAGATCAAACAAGTGATTTAAAAGGTATCTGTAGTAAAATTGTTATTTGCTTAATACTAACTACTCCATGATAAATGTTAATGTTTTAATATCTGAGCAAATATTAATATTTAATAAATCAACATAATTATTTAAATGAATAATATGTATATTTACATATTATTCACATGTTTTATAACAGAAGTTATATTTCCTTTGTTTCACAGGAAAAATAGAGTTCCAAGAGGAATTAAGAATGAAGGATAGTTCTTCTACTAGTACAACATTTGTACAGTCTGAAAATTGCATGAATACAAGAAAAAGAAGAAGATCTTTAATCGAGGTAATGAAAATGAACATGTACTTGTTTTCAATGTAAAATGTTTATTCTAATATACCATTAATTATTACATCCGTTTTTATATAACAGACAGAGCTGGAACAGAATGTTCATCAGTTAGCCAATGTTCAAAATAACAGTACTCAGCCAGTTGTTACTTCAGTACCTTCTGAAGAAGGCAAAACTGCTCCTTCACTGCCAGTGCCTAATAAGGTATTTAATTAGTATTTAAGAATAGAGAAACCCGATATAAAATTTAAAAAACAATACAGACTTTTATAATATCATATTCAATTAGCGTTTTATGTATGTTGTTCTTATCATAACATACTTTTTACTTCGTATTTTAAATTAATCTTATATACACTAAACAAGTAAAATCGTTTATTTAGGTTTTAATACTACCCTTCAGTTCAGTATCAGAGGGCATAAAACAACCCATTATAGATAAATCTTGCCTAGGAAACCTTAAACAAGTGCCGTGTTCGGGTTCAACGGTTTCTTATCAACAAAATGTAACTCTTGTCCCTCTTGGTGTTAGTTGCACTGGATCTAATTCTACAGGTTTGTTAAGCCTATAATATTTTCCAGTAATATAGAATATATGAGTATTCTATTTGTTTTATTATTAATTATTTATTTAATGTAATACAATAATGTATTCATAACATTGTGCTATATATATATTTACATAATTCCTAACACAATATTCCTAATCTTAATCCATTATCAGTTGTTTGTAAAAGTGTTACATCGCAAGCAACTATATACAGCCAGTCATTGATTCAGTCAACTCATTCTGGAATCGGACCTTTACCCACATTCATTACCACCAGTACAAAGTCCAGATCTCAAGTATTAACTACACAGGAGAAAATAAATCCGAAGATTATATCATTGACAGTTGCACCTAACACTACTCAAATTGAAAGGAGTACGCTGCCATTAGAAATTCAAGATGGACAAACAAGAGATGGTAATACCAAGTTTTTAAAACATATTCTTCTGAGATATGTGGAATTCAATAATTTTACATATATGAATAATTATATTAACTTATGGATATAAAATCTGTCTCGTTGTCAATCAGTATGCTTAAACCAAAGACATCTGATCACACAAATCATAATTTATTTTCTCCCAGAATTTCTACTACTATTTACCCTGACAAACAATTGTCAGCAACTGAAAATTCCACATTATCAAGTAATTATTTAAGTTCTTAAATGCAAATAGCACATACTAGAATCATTTATAAAATGAACGTTTTTCAAAATAGTAGATTTAGAGCATAGTATGTGTCAACATAAAATTGAAGATTTGCGTGCAAGTAATAAACCCATTTAAATATGAATGCCCTTTTGATTGTTACATGGTTACAACATCATTTATTAAATCATTGTCATTTTCATTATTAAGAAAATAAATATTTACAGGCGGAGTTACACAAGTTATGAATACAAATTTGTGTAGTACATCTAACGGTCCTGGGCCACCACAGACAAAAATTATGACTACAGTAACATGTAAAAAGATGTCACCTACAAAAATCAATTATGAAAATATTTCTAAAATGGTAAACTAAAATGATGTAATCAATATAAATGGAAAAGAACGAATATCATTTCATTAAACTAATTACATATGCTTTACAGGGTGTATCCCTGTATTCAAATAAAAGTTTAAACCTAGCACCAGTACCTAATGCAAGGCTAACAACTAAAACAAATGTAATTGTGGTGCAAAAAGGTCCTGCTAGAGGTGTTACACTTTCTCATGCTGGCAAGGTAAAATATTATTCTAATGTAATAAATTCTAAATTAAAGGGTGTTTACTTAATTATTTATCATTTATAGGAAGTGCTTGGAAAAGTAATTATGGGTGGTAAGAGCTTGTGTCTCTCTAATCAACCAAGTACGAATACTATCGCCTTACTACCTCATCGAAGTATCATTAATGGAGATCAAAATGTAACATTTTCAACCGTTGGTACACCAGAATTGTCGAAGTCAAATGCAAAGGTATCTGAATTAAAATACTTCATATGAGTTTATAACATTAAATTTACAGGCTTTCTATCAGATGCATCTCATCCAGAAAATGTTGAAGGACAGATTACTAGTAAGCAGAACTTACAATTATACTCAGCTTTAAGAGTTCTGTAGTATTAATTTTTGTTTTTACAACAGAAGAGTTCAGTTTTTTCATCATTTAAGGATTTACAAATATTGATAGAATTTTCATAATAAACATAGAAAAAGCAAATACTGGGTTTAAGAAGATTATCTTCAGATATGTTATTTTCATTTTTCACTCGCATTAAATAATCGACGAATGAGATCATTTTAAGGTTTTTAAAAATATATACAGAATGGAATAGTTAGAGATGCAATAGCTTGTTAATTTTCTAATTTAAGATATATCTAAGCAAAGGATGTGTTTCATATTCATATCCAATAGCAAAAATGATTAAATAATCAACAATTTTACTCATAATCTAGTTGAAAATCGAAGCCTAATAAAATTTATATTACACTCACATTTTTTTTATTATATAAAACTAATACTATGCATCCACATATAATTAATTTTCAGACAAGCAACGTTTTTGTATTTGGACTTCGACAAGATGTTTTAGAAAAAAGTAAAGTTCTGTCACAATTTCTTGAAGCTTCAGGAGTACTGAGTTCAGATTCTAAAGCTGCTCTCTTGAATCCTAACATGCATTTGTTGATGAAAGATGAAAACAGTGGTACTATGCAAACTGTTAGTAAAAATCTTCATTTAACTGACAAGGCATCAATTAGTGAAATCAGAGGACAAAGGTTAGTTACTTGAGAGAAGGGTTTCATAAATCATCTTCTTAATACTGGTAAATGATTGTTTTTCAAACTGCAGGGATCATGAGGAAGTTTCGGAAACATTAAACACACAAGAATTAGAAACTTCATCTATGATTACATCAACAGATATTAAAGAAACATCATTGATAAGTCAAATAAATGAAGAATCGCAAGGTACATTAGATCCACAAACCGGAATATACAGTTTTCAATCTTCAGGTAATGAATAAGTATTCATTTATTGCACTCCATTTTCATATAATTTGATATTTTTAAAATATGTAATCAAGATTCAGTGATTATGGTCTCAAGTTATAATCATTACAAACAATACTTAGTGAATGTTAAATATGAGCAGATTTATTATTTTTCATTTTTGTATAGTATTTAATATTGTAGCAATTGTAATTTACAAAATTGTAAATAAATAAATTCTTATTAAAATTATATATCCTTTATATACACTGTAAAACTACTTATTGAAGTTTATATTTTAATAATGGTGTTGACAATCTGTAATATGTTCTTCTAGATGGGGATAAAAGTGATCTTCCATCAATGAGTTCCTCCCAAAGTACAGGAATTGATGATTTTAGTACAATACTTACACATCGTAATACTCATTTGAAAAACCCTCAAAGAGGGAATATAAGCGAGGAAGTAAATGTTATAGAAAAAATAAGAAATGCAATACTGAACAATGATCAGTTCAGTAAATTTAATAATCAATTAAACTCGACAACTAATCAGTAATATGGAGTACTACTAAAAGTAAATCTGTGAAATCTTAATTTTTAACATATTTGAAATATATATTTTATATACATCAATCTCAAGGCATCTAAAACTTAGAGTCGGAAATATGACTGTTTATTAGTAATGTAGGTCATTCATGTATTGACATGTGATTATAATGTTAAGTAGTTGTATGGATATAAATGTAATATTTTAATTGTTTTTAAAGGTTAAAACAATTTTGAGCATGCTCAATCAACTGTACATTTAATGACAAACTGTATTTCACTATGATGTTTTTGTTGTTAAAGCATCTCATATCATGTATAAAGTTGTCTGTGCTTTCTATTATTAGGATTTGTTGAACATTATTAATTATGTCGTTTTATTTTCTTAATACCAATTATAAAAAACTAAAACAAACATAGGAAGTTTCTTTGTTTTGTTATCATTTTCTATCAACATTGTTAAACATTTGACCACTTCACAAGTTATCTAATGCAATTTTGTTTGTATGTGGCAGATTGAAACCAACTATGACACTGACCAAATAATAATTAACATTTAAGTTTTACGTTTATATTATTATAATGATACTTTTATTCTTACTCTATTATATATACAGTTCTAAAAGTAGAACAAAGAATGCTTGAAAAGTAAAATACACAAAACATGTCACAGTTACAAAAGATTAATTTATTGCAAATCTTGTTTATTTCCAATTCTTAATAAAATGGAATGTAAATTAATACGGACGAGGAGGAGGACCACCACGCATCATACCTGGTGGTGGAGCTCTCATCCCAGGAGGTCCCATTGGTGGCCCAGTACGTGCCATTGGAGACATGCCTGGTGGCATACCTAAAAATTAACAAAATATATTAGACATAAAACAGCACAAAACATGTAAAAAATTAGATACTGTAATGTGTTGACTATGATTTGACTTCCGAAACATTACTATAATATAAAAGTTCTTGCCTTTAAAGAGGTAGGAACTTTTAATTGAATAATTACCCATCATTCCTGGAGGTGGTCCCATCATTCCTGGAGGTGGACCTCCAACTGGCATGCGCGGTGGACCACCAGGATGCATTTGTGGTGGAGCTGACACTTGCCCTCGACCACCAGGAGTCATAATCTGTTGCGATGGTCCTCCGACTCCTCTGACGGGTCCTTGTAAGCCTGGTGGAACACCGGCCACATTTGCAGGCATACCACGACCAGCAGCACGCCCCATGCCCGGTCCTGGAGCTGCTCCTGGGATAGGAACTCTAGGCAAACCTTCTTCTGGAGGTGGTGGTCCCTCAACGGTCAAAGATACAATATTTTCTCCTCTAAGTAATACAAAACCTAAGACTCTTTTTTCTTCCCTTTCTGGTTGTTTTGTATTTTTTGGCTTAATTTTCCGGAATTCTTCACAATCTCCAAGAATAAGATTCATGTGTTTATCAAAAGCTTTGAAAGTACCGATAAAAGTTCGAGAATCTTGGAGAATAATCCGAACTCTGTAATTAATATGTTGCAGCATCTTGTTGTTCTTGCCAATTGTCTAAAATAAACAATTTAAATGTAATCGTAATTTTGATTGTAATGACCCGATAGAATTTACTATAATAGTTACAACTAATACAATACGTAAGACACAATTTACCACTATTTCATAATTCCTAGATTTAAGTGCAATTCTATGACTGTAGTATACAAAATAATACCACAGAATAAATAAATATAATAATACATTGTTGAAGAAACGTATAAACCCTACTTAACATATATGTAAACTATTGTGCAAAACATATTTCTACAAACCATTGTAGCGGTTTTGTAAAACTTTTTCTGTTACAAGACACTAATTTTTTGTTACGGTTGTTGGAATATCGTTATTATGGATGTTTTTTTCGTCTCCTCCACGCGATCGGCAGTTACTTTCAGCAATTGGAGGTTAACACACCACTAACGAACTAAAGAGAATGGGAGATTGCTCACGGGTAGGGTCGCGCGATGGCATCCTGTGTTGCCCCCTAGTTTCGAACGTTAGCTTTCATCGCTTTTTGCCCCCAAAGGCGGTGCAACGAATTTCTGGTAGGGGTAGAGTTCTAAATCCAGTAAGTTACGTCAGAAACGAAGAGAAATTCCCGGTAACTTATCTGTAACTTCTCCAAAGTCCTTTTTATCGAAAAATTATGAGAATTTGAATTTTTCAACAGAGCGAACGAGAGGTTTCGATTAGCTATAGAGAAACATCGTAGAGAGGAATTTCCGTTGTACGTTTTCCGTAGCCAATCAAAACCTCCCATTCGCTCCGTCGCAGAATGAAATATCAGTTCGTTTGAAACAAATCGCATGGAATTTTCCGTGAAGTTGTACATACGTGAATATTTTTAGCTGGAGGTAAATGCGACCCTATAATCAATATTTTCTAATAGTAATTATTACTCTTTAGCTTGAACTTTGAAATTGATTGAAAAAAAAAAGTTATATAAACGAAGAAACCTAAACTATAAATAACAAAATTAACGTTCTCTTAAATTCTCAATGTTCCCGGTAACTTACGGTATGTTTCACAGTTACCTTCTCCAATTTAATGTAACCGAGATTTTCGAACTCTAGGTAGGGGCTCGCGCACTCGCGATAGCAGTGCCATCTACCACTCGCCATTGACGGCTCAGGTACTTGTGATGGTAATACCATGCAGCAGTTAACGGTGGTGGCTTACTAACGCTTACCGACTCGCTCCTGCGACCTGCTCGCAACCTGCTCGCGACCTGCTTGCATTTGATGGTAAGGGAAGAACACTCGTGGCGCCCTCTTTGAATTTACCCTTCACTTACCTTATTTATTTAATTCGCAAATGATACAGGTAAAATTACAACGTGGGTGCTCAAGAGTTAAGTTATACTTTATATACAATTTTTATACGCTGCAGAAATTAATAATAAAATTATGAATGTTCCCTAGGGAACACATAAAACCTAGATGGAAGAAGAAACCTAGATGGTGAGCCGAGATCTTAGTTTCCTCATTGGTTGAGATTTAGTCAGTGTTGAGTGGGTATAATCAGAGACGAGGTGGGACATTGCTCACGGGCAGGGTCGCGCGATCGCATCCTGTGCTGGGCGTTTATTACGTATTTCTGACGAGCGCGCTCACTTCTCGCACTTCCATCTCATGTGGGTTTATTCGCCGAATTACGTATTCGCTATATGAATGAACGACATCACTAGCACTTCCAGTCTATTAATATTGTAAATCAAGGAATATATTCATATATACAACCCACCTTATAAATCGAAAATTGTGAGAGGTGTGGGTTATAGGCAGGAAAGGCGGGAAGATGGAAAGCCGTTAAAAGTAAAGAGGACTCGAGTCTATTCATATTTTTTAATATGTACTATATTCATATTTACATGTACTATAATTAGATGTTCAACAATATAATTTTCTTATGTCATGTAAGCATGAATTATTTAACAGTTTTCAATGTTTAATAATGTAATATAACCTCGCAATAACAAAAACAAACTTGTACATCTTAGTAAATTCTCTTTCTTCTCACGAAAATGGGTCTGAGACATCACGTAATTCCTTTCTTCTTCTAATAAAGTTATTATTACATCCCCGAATACGATTGTTGCCAAAAATAGAAACACCCAGGAGGTTTTCCATTTTGAATTTTGGTGTCACAATCCGTGGTAGATGGCGTTCACGACGCTTATTTTTCTATCTTTTCTTGTACGCTTCACTATTTCGCTTAAAAATTTGTGCCGGGCCAGTTCATATGAATGGTCTCGCGTTTTCACCACCAAAATCGTTCCGTAATACCGTCAGCTACTCATTTTTCACATTTTCGCTCAATTTGCTTTACCTAATAAACCCCCTGTCTTCTGGTTTCGTACGTTAGCTTCAGGGTTGGGTAAGTATAATACGTCAAGTAATATACGTGGTTTTCTACACGTTCATTACAACGTATAATACGTTCCTAGTTTTCTACACAGGCACGAAGTATATTACCCAAACTAAATGTGCAAAGCGCACGCGCAATCTCATCAATAGCCAATGAGAGTCCACCTATTTACTTCTAAGAGAGATTCTCATTGGCTATTAAGAGGATTGCGCTTTACGCATCCACAAATCCGCGCACATTCGAAATCAGCCTTGGAAATTTGAAATGTATGCATATATGTGCATTTGACATTTGTTTAAAACGGCTGATAACGGCTATTTGAAGCCGTAAGATTCGTAACCAACATTTGTATCAAACTGTATAAAGGTGGAAGACCAAAAGTAAATTATAGGATGAAACAAATGGACAAGATGGATGTTTATAACCTAGCGGATACCGCATGCCGTATGTACATACGTCTGTCTTGTCCGCCATATTTGGTACGTTTTCTCCTGGTTTTCTACGTTTTCTACGGTAAACTACTTGATTTACATAATATACGTCAAAAATCTCGAAAATCGTGAAATTACCCAACTCTGGTTAGTTTTCACCGTTTTTTGCCCCCAAGGGCGGCGCAACGAATTTATGGTAGGGGCTCGCGCACTCGCGATGGCGGTGCGATCTACCACTCGCCATTGGCGGCTCATGTACTCGTGATGGTAATATCATGCAACCATGAAGAACACTCGTGGCGCCCTCTTTGAATTTACCCTTCACTTGCCTTATTCATTTCATTCCCAGATGATACAGGCAAAATTACAACGTGGGTGCTCGAGAGTTGAGTTATACTTTATATACAATTTTTATAAGCTACGGAAATTAATAATAAAATTATGAATGTTCCCTAGGGTATACATAAAACCTAGATGGAAGGAGATACCCAACAACATAGCTTGACGTAGTCGGTATGACGCTAGGTGTAACGTACCTGTCGCAAGTTCAAATTCTGAAGGAAGGGAAGGACGTGCACGGTTTTATACACAAATTTTTTTCGTCACGTTTTACAGTTCATAGCAATCGCACAAAACATTGCAGTTATGTAATTTTTTATTATGGGTTCAGCTTTTCATTACTTGTTTCACCGTCCATAAGGTGTTTTTAATAGTTAATGTGAAATTAATTAAAATCGTACCGTAAGATAACAGTATCAATCTTCCTTATCGGTAGAATTATTATTTAGTTACCTATGTTGCTACCGTTATCTCATTCACTGCGAAAATTTAAATTATAATCATCATTTTGAGAATGAGCTCGGAAGTTAAAAATCTCTGGTTAAAATATTTGCCCCGTAAATTAGTAACTTTACTGCAAAACATTTGTCCTGAAATATTCCGGCTCACGGTAAAACAATGGTAATTAACAAAATTTCAATAACATCGTTTTAAATACCGAGTACATGAGTCGTGATCGACATGGATCGCATCAGTCGGCGAAAGATGAAAAAAGATGAAAAAAACTTTAAAGTACGTTGTTGCCCCGAAGTCGACGGGCACGCGTCGGTATCACGTATGGAACTTGCATGCAACGAATCTGTGTGAATGCGTTCGCTCCTAGAAATCTTCGCACATCCCATCAACCAGGCAAGCGCCAAGCTCCGGGTCGAGACGTTGAGTATGTATGCGTTCTTCGCTTCGCTCGTAATGAGTATGCGTGAGAGTCGAATGCTGCGAAAAACCTCCCGAGGCTTACTTAGCCGCGGATATAAGCCGAGTCATTTCGCGTATGATTTTTACATTTCCCTACAAAGAAGTAAATCGATATCCCTGTTGTTATTCCATTTGGTTTTATTTCTTGACAATGGAAGAAATTTATTTTACTGGTAGTTAAATAAATTTTGAACTATCAATAAATAAACATCGTTTATGAAATCAACTTCATGTCAAACATCTTCAAATTTCTCACCATTAGGAAGCATTCTTTTCGTAAATTAGTAATCTTTTTAGGTATTACTCGTCAGAAATGTCGTTTTCTTTGTATCATATACAATTAATTCACTTTTTTTTCGATACCAATTTTAATATTGACACTTTGAGATTGGTGTACTGGTATTAATACTTTCTGATCTCGACTTCTCTTTTACTTTAACATATAACTCAATTTTCTTCCGATAACACTTTAACATTGTAACACTTTCAGCTTGATGTACTTGTAATTCGATACTTTCCACGTATTTATAATTATAATAATTTATAGTTTACTTTCGACATCAGTTTCAATTTTCTTTCGACATCAGTTTAAATTTTCTATCGGTACCAGCCTTTACATCAACTCTTTTACTTTTGCAAATAATTAAATCTTCTTCCGATATGTGCTTCGTCCATTAACAGTAACAAAGAGCATTTCTGTGTTAAGTATGAAAAAATATTCACGCGTTTATACACGTGTTAAAAGATGTTTATACGCTGATGCGTACAAATATATACGGTAGTAGCTATAACGATCACATAATTTACTGGTTTTCTACGTTCTGACCAGTAAATTGTTTAATTTTCATAATATACGTCGTAAACGACGAATGACACGTCATTAACCGCAGAGATTCTGTTAACCGTCACTGCTGCGAAATACTCAAATTTACATCATGCGATAAATCATAACACGCTCTCATTATTTAAGATGAAGCCATCAAAAACTCTTATTGTTTCGAGGATAGCTCGATAGAACGCATTGAAATTTCATTAACCAATATCCTTCTAAATTTAAACACATTCACAGTTTCAACAATTTTCTTCTTTAACCTTAAAGTATTTTTGTCCTTTCATACGAGCTCTATCGGTAGAATGCGAAATATCGCGCGAGGAACGTGAACAAGAGGGTTCGTTCGATTGTTGCTAGGTGGCGACGTCATCGAGCGTCGGTACCGCCGCCAACGGCATTCGCTGGCCATCGCCAGTTTAGTGGTGACGCGCACCGTCGACTGCGTGGATGGGGCGTACAGTTGTGGAACTTTCTTTCGCGGGAAGTCGAGTGCACGCGTAAAGTTTTTTTGTTTTCCCGTCAGTATTTGGTCCGAAGAGGGCACGGTCGTGAGTTAGGTCCGCTATGCGAAGTATCCAAGGGCGCCGCATCACGGCACGAAAGGCATCATACGAGGCGCTTTAAAACCATGAGGCGCCAGTGACTTCCAAGGAGAGATCCCGGAGTCCGGTTACCTGAAAAACAAGGTACCTGCGCTGCTCGTTCGCTGGCTAAACGTAGTCCGACCTGTTGATACCGTCCGCGGCGTGGCGCGCGCGTGTCGAGACCGTACCGAGACGATCTCGCGAGGAACCGATCGATCTCAACGATTTGTCCGATCGCGAGTCAACGGAGACGTCTCCCCACTGCGAAATAACTCTTCGTGGGTCTCTCTCTTTGTATTTTCCTATTTTTTCCTTTCTTTCAAGAACTATGATTCGACGGAGCCTGGCCGATCCTTCTCGATCCGATGACCAAGTTAATCAGCGCTGATCGCGGCGCCGAAGGGAAAGATCCTTCGCATCGTTTTTCCTGGACCACGCGAACGGGGGTCATTTTACGATAGCCCTCTCTGCAAACGGAAACATGCAAAATTTAATTCTGCACGGCGTTTACGCGTGAACGCTTTCACGAGTCTCCTACTTTCCGCCATGCCACAGCATTACGTCGTACCTGCGGATTACGGACAAAGTGCGCTTCGCGCACGGCGAAGGTGTGCTGCTGGCAAGTCGCGTATTGCTTTCCACGCTGCGTTGCCCACCTGACTCATAACGCGGTTATTACGAATTATCCTGGAACGCGACAGTCGCTCCCGGTGTCCGGTCAGTCCACGCGGTGGCATCGTGGTGGTCGTTCTCTCCTGCCGCGCGAAAGGAACGAGATCTTCGAGGTGTTTCAGGGACACGGTACCTTCTTCCCTGATTTCTGCTCCAAATGGTCCTATGTCTAATCTGTCGAATGAGTACTCGCCGGTGAGCGATTCCACCCTCTCATTTGCTGAGGAACTTAATTGCAGAGATTTAAAACAACGTTACAGGTATTACGTGACTTATGCGTGTTTGAAGAACTTAAATGTAACACGGAAATTTACTGAATTTTGATCTGAATTCTGGAACCAAAAGCCACCGTGGGAAACGCCGAACGTGTTTGAACGACCGAGGAGCTTCGACGCAGTTATTAAAAGCGCGACGCTGTTTCCTCGTTACGTGTTAATCGTCGTTAACGCTCGAGGACGCTAGGACACGATGTTCTCACCGCGCCTCCGGCGTGGGAACGCTCGGGAATATCCGAATAATATTTTTCGGTTAAAAATCGGACGTTCCCTTGATGCGGAGGAAGACCAATTACTCCATCGGTTTCGTTTACGTTAGCGTATTGGTCAATCGTGAAATTGCTGAGCATCGTATCTAGAAACGTATCGTCACCCATTATCTTTCGTTCTACCCAATCACGCATGATGCGTGTACAGTGGTTTTCCAATTGAAAGAAACACTTTGGTTTCCATCGGCACTTGCGGATCGAACTATCGAAGTCGATCGAACCGTTTCAGTGGGCAAATTTTGTCATCGGCGCATCCGAATAACGGTTTCTCTTGGAATTGCGTCATCGTTTTGTTTGTCCATTCTTTGACAAGTCAAATCGAGGATGGTTTCCAGTTACATAAATGACGGATTTCAATGCGATGTATTAGATTCGTAGTGATTGCGATAATTATGTTACACTTTAAATTGGTCTCGTTTTTTGGGGGGATATCAAAGGAATCTTAAATCTCTCCCTATCGTGTAATGGAAGAACTGGCCCTCCGAGTTATGCAAAGATTCACGATACCGTTACCAGAAAAGAGTTGTCATGACTAAATAATTGTATCATACTAAAAACACTGCGTAACGAAATACGATATCGTTTTCAATGTGTTGAATATGCACAATAGATACGACGCAGTACTTGATTGCCCCTGCAATAATCTTATGCAGTATGTCGATATTAAGATGCGCGTTTCACCTTCAGCGAGAGAATGCACGAAAATATTTCAATGATATTACTAAATTGAAAACATAGCAGTCATTTCCAGAGTGAACGAATCGACCCCTCGATCAAGACGGTCACGTTCTACTTGCGTATTGGACGATCACAGGATTCTCAACGTATCGTATCTGGAATAAATTCGTTACCTTTCGTTTTGTGCAATAACACATCGTGCGTAATCTGGGTCTTTAATCGAAGGAAGTCCCTGTCGATCGATGCCAATCGAACGGCCAAATCCAACCGATGGTTCAGATGTCACGACGAGAGACGAGGCACCAGCCACACCGACGGTTTTTCTGTAAACAGCGGTTACGAGGGAGCGATTAAAGAATGGAGATTTAATTAAACTCTGTCCGTCATTTTTCCGCCGGCGGGGCCGAATAACGGCCCTACCGGAAATTGCTTCCCGATGTTTTATATTTCCATTTGTTGAATTAGATGTAATTGTAAAAATTCGATCGTTCCATCGCAGATGTCAACGCAATGTATTATCTAAAGATAGTACCTGGTCTGCTCTGAATTTCTCCCGGTATGTATCTATGATCGAGAGAAAGTTTAATATATTTAATGTATTTTAATTGTTTATACCGAGAAATATATTTGTTGCATTAACCTGTAAATTTTTTAACTTTTTGTGGTGTAAACTGCCTCTGGATATTGACCGCTTTCAATTAATTCTGCTTGTCCTTAATATGAATACATTATCTTCCCGCGGATCGTTTTTCGGCAACCCTGGAGGAAATGTTCGGCGCAGGTAATAAAACTTGTTTTTGAAAAACTTGTTAGCGAGAATACGTTTCTTTTTTTCGACTGGAGTTTCTTATGCTCCTGGTGTCTGTAGTACTCACGCAATTGAATACCTTCTCTAAATCCTCAACTACGCTTGGCTGATTTATGCGCGTCTCATTCTTTGTTCCGATCCGCCGTGGAATGGTTGACAATTACCAAATTTTTAATTTAACGACTTACGCCACCAAGTTCTTGGTACTTCCTTGGGTAATATGGAGATTGGTTACAATGATCACGTACTTGTCGTTGCTACCTTCTATCTGTAGCTGTACTTGGTAATTTCATCAAGCGGTATCGGTAATCGGTATCTTTGCTCAGGATGTCGTCATAAGTGGATAAGACTATATTTGAGAAAAATTATTTGTCCTCGATAAATATCATTCTTTTTAAGCGTGACACAACCTAGCCGTATCATTTGATCCATTTGGATCCAAATTTGGAAAATTTCGTTTGGAATAAAAGTTTATAAACGACGCTAAATATTCAGTTCAGAGACAAAAACTCGTACTCATACCTCACTTTTATCATTAAAAGACGTCTTTTCCCTATAGTCTTTAAATAGCTAAAAGTTATCTTTTAATCCTGAAAGTAAGGTATGAGTACGGACAATAGTTTGAACAATAGAGACGTTTGTTACATTTTACCAGATAATTATTTTGTCTTACAACAGCAACTGCGAAAGCGTTAACATTACAAAGTCTTTATCCCGGTATTTATCACGTCAATTGAATGGAATGTCAATATGGCCGCGCTTGTCAACAAACAGAAGACGATATACGAATAAAATATTGCTGCACAAATAACGAACATGACGCCTTGCTGTTACTGATAAAACTGTGGAATTCCATTCTTTTTTGACTTCGTGTGGCGTGTATCTTTACTAATTCTGATTAATGAGGTTCCGTTTGGAGATATATCTAATCAGTAATTACGTAATAATTAAGATTACGAGGCTGGTGGACAAAACCGCAACGTTTACAAAAGAAAATTGTAGTGAATTATATATTGTTTAAAAAGTACGCAAAAGATACGACGTACGCGACCTTGGTTCGAAGTTGTTAGATTTTTTTCATAAATCTTCGCGTGAACTCTTGTCGTGGACTCGGATAAACGAAAGCTAGACAGTAATTGCAAAAGCAACTCGAGCTGCAGAAAAGGAAAATGTGATTCATTCCGGGAAAATAATATCCCAGAGGTGAAATCAATTGTAAGGAAAGATGTAAAATAACACGCGAAGCATAAAAAATGAAATTGTCAATTGGTGCAATTTAGAAATTCGTTCGGAAAGCAAGGTGACAAATAATGAAGGAGTGTGCCATTAATGTTGCAGAGGGAAAGGTTTGTTAGTGTCAACTAACGCCACGTGAAAGAAGAGTCGCGGTCAGATGATCTCGAGACAACAAAATCCATTTTATCGCGCTTAACATAAAAGCGTATCGCTTCAACAAGGAAACGGGGTCTGATATAACGAGGGGGTGTACAATTAATTTCTTAGAGAAAAAGGAGGCTGGTGACATCAAGGCGAGGTATTCTCGCTTTCCGAGGATGAAATGCATTTTATTCTGGTACATTTTTACTAATGGAAACACATCTCGGAAATAAGTTGACGGAGATCTCGGTATCGTTCGAATGTTACAATAATTTTACCGATGTCAAATCATTTCCAATGTCTGTAACATTTAAGGCAAGATTTTAAGATTTTTGTTAAAGGTTGACGTAGTACTATATTGTATCGTTATCATAAAAACGTTACCATCTATTTTTGTTTTTCACGTGGAAAAATCTTGCGACCGGTTCTAGTATTTTATTTTATCATTCAGGCTCTGCTTTCACGCCCGACGACATTCGATGTTCATGAGTACGATTTCAGTGAATAATCCTCGGCTTTAGTTAGGCGTCGTTTCGACCAAACGTAACCATGGCGAACGATATTCCCGCCACAACGCCAGAAGGCATATCGACGATGATAAACCGCTTAGTACACGTTTGCAGCACGAAACGGCGACGTTGTGACGCCCTGAAACTTTTTTCAACGAACATACCATGATTGCAAAGTCCATCGATTCCATTTGCATTTTCTACGTTGTTATGAACACTTATCACAGGGTCCAAAATCTGTTTAATTGCGATTGAACGATACTTTGAGGACTATGAAATTGCATAACAGTTATGCAACGATAGCCCTTTAATAGCCCATTATGGATTCGCAGAAAATAATTCAGAGTTTTATAAAGCCAATAAAAAATAAAAAAGAACCGTGTTTCAATGTCAACTGAATTTTCAGGCATTATTTTCTGTGCACTTGAATCATTATGAAACAGTTATAAAACGCCGGGAGTTGTAAGTTCCTTTACAGTGCAGCAACTTTGCAAGATATTGAGATCGATTTAGTGTTTTTTTCTTTTTTATAATTTTTAGTATACGATTTTTAAAAACTGGAATCCGATGATATCGATACATTCAGCGTGATGTTTCGTGTTCGTTGCTATAGCACGGCTTAAAAAAAAAAGTGATTATCACCCTGTCATACGAGTTTCCCTCGTTTGCGCGAGACTTTTCCAGGGCTATATTTCACGAATACGCGTGGGCGCGGTATTTGAAGTCCGCGACCGATGTTTTCCTCTTTTTTTTTTTTTTTTAAACTGTACGCGAATGAAGATACAAAGACCGAATATGTAATTTATGATACCATAAATCGAGGTGGAAGGTAGATAGCACCTGTAAATACTGCAATCGTAAGTTGTAATCGCGAGGCTGATTCATCGGTTCGTCGTGAAAACTGTTTCTCATGCCTATTCAGAATTATACTCACACGTGTTACGATTCATGCGATGAAATTACGTACGTAGTTATTATCAGCAGGTGTGCCCCATCTTGTTAGATGCGTATGAGCACTTCGTTGTAACGAAGCGAACGGGTTTTTTGTTAATGCCCCATAAAGTGGCATGTCAATGTCACGCATTACTAGATCGAGATTCATTAATTAATATTTCTGTTTCTAGAATCCCCCTATAAGTAAAGGTTGATGAAGCACATTAGACCTACCCGGATCGAATAGGACCAGTCCAGGAAAATTTTGAGTGAAATGAAATACACGATTTTAAATGGGAGGGTGCACATCTTAGCCGGGCAGAATTTGTATTTAATTCCGCTCCAGGATTTTCCGGGTCTAATGGACTTAAGTCCATTAGACCCGGAAATAAAATAACCTTAACCTAACCT